GTGAGCGTGGTCGTGATATCGCTGTGGGGGTACTCAACAGCCGATGAAGGCTTGGGAGTAGGCTTGACGTAACCAGTTCCGTAGGAAGAGGCGTGGTAGACGGGGGTGGAGGCACTGTAGGCTGGGTGAGATGCGCTGTAGACAGGCTTGGAGGCACTGTAGATGGGAGTTGAAGCGTGGTAAACCGGAGAGCTCTCGGCAGGCTTGGAAGCACTGTAGACGGGGACAGAAGCGCTGTAGACCGGAGTGGAGGCGTGGTATGCGGACGAGCTCACTGCAGGAGTCGACGCGCTGTAGACCGGGGTGGAGGCGTGGTAAACCGACGAGCTCTCAGCGGGCTTGGAAGCGCTGTAGGCGGGGACAGACGCGCTGTAGACTGGAGTCGAAGCATGGTATACTGATGAGCTTGCGGCAGGAGTAGATGCGCTGTAAGCGGGAGGGGTGGATGCCTCGTAGACCGGTGTGCTAGCTGGGTAGTGAACCTCACTGCTGGGTGTGGACGCTTCGTACGGCTTGGAAGAGGGAGTCGGGGCGTGGTAAGCACTGGGAGTGGATGCTGCTTCATACGGCTTTGAAGAAGTTGGTGCAGGCTGGTATCCTGTGGGGACAACCGCTGAGTAGCCGTATTGAGGCATGGCCAAGGCCGAGCCGACGAGGGTAGCAGCAACGTAAGAGTAACGCATCTTGATGGTATTGCTGATTGGAGTCCTAGGTGATTGATCCGGAGGTTGTCGAGATGGTATTAAGTATTATAAGACTTTTGTGAGGACACTGTAGCGAGTGTTGGTGTAGGAAAACTGTAGGAAAGCGAAGGTGATGGTTGGTGGATGAGTATGATAGTTGAGATGGAACGAAAGTTATATACCGTAGTCTCCAGAGTCTATACGCTTCCATGATGGCTGACGTCGATGCCGTCTCCACTTTGTCAACACGAAGTAACATCTCGCCATGTGAAGGGCTCCGCTCTACGTACGAGCTGTCGATAGCGTGAGCAGCCCGACAGTAGCATCAGCGAAAAAACCCGCAGGGGTTGAGCGAGTAGAGGCACAGCCCTACCGCACAGTGATGCCGACGCTGCCGGGATGAGCGACCGTTATGGGCTATATTTGCACCACGCTTTGGCTGTTTCTGGACTAGCGTGCGGCTGTCATCCAGTCACGGCACCCGGAGCGCGTATCGCATCACCCTCATCTCAGTCCAGCCCATCGTCCGTCAGACCTCAACAACAGCCGTTCGCGACCTTCGCGCATTCGGAGACACTGCCGGTGTTGCTACACTACCCACGTTCCGCTCCCAAAGATAGCCGGCCACGTTCCTGAAGATCCACCAGGGCCGTAGCCTCGGGCGACCCACGAGCCGGAGCCTGAATTTTCCAGATGTCTACTACCAGCCACCGTGGAGGCTATACCTAATCGGGTCTTTGATAACAGACCCTCGGTGATTCGGATGAGTATTGTATTATCGCCTTTCCTCATTGCGCAGTCAATACTTCCTTACTCCATCGCCAGCGACGCCACATATGCTGACTTGCAGTTACGAGATGTCGGCTTTACCCTCCAGGGTTACCTACGCGAAGAACAAGCAATCCATGGATGCGCTGATGGTCTGTGGCGTCCGACCTGGCATGAACGTTGCACCGCTGACCCAAGTCTCTATGCATATGAGCATCGTCCGTCATGCCCACTGGCGAATGCGGCAGAAAACGTTCTATGCCGCGTCCCAGGAAGCTATGTGACTGAACCTGCAGTACTCTGCGCGAGTAGAGCCGTGTGCGCACTGACACGAGATGCAAGCGTTGGGTTGGGCGAATGCCTCCCCCCTCCACCACGCTACTCGTATTTTCCAAACGACAGCCACTAGGATCACTACCTCCAGGAATATACCGGGCTATTAGGAAAGCTCGGCTATATAGCATATCAGCCACATACATCACACATCGAAGTAGTGCTGATTGTGCCCACAACTCGACTTGCCTCCGCTCTTTGTTGAATCTGGTGGAAGCTTATTCTCTCAAGCTTCTCACAGATCATAGCAAGCAGAGTACCTCAGACAACAAAACCCTGCACAGATCTGCAGACTACACTATGCTAAAACGAACGAATCGGAAAATCTGGCGTCAATGTAGGCCCCAGAGTTTTCGGTTGTTCCTTGATTGAGCTGGGAGCACGATCAAGATTTCGGTACTTCTGTTACCAGAACATTCGAATGCACCGGCGGATCTTGTCTGGCGCCTCAGCGATGCCGTATAAGCCGTTCGCAAACACGGCCGCTGTCATTTACGTTTGACTTCGTCTTATGGCTTGAAGGACTAGCTTCATCTCAACGAATGCAAATTCGCAATAATATTTTGGCGAAACAGCGGATTCACCCAGACAGCCATCTGTATCCATACCGAAGTTGGAAGAGAACTTCCTGCTGATCACAAGCTCAAACCGGATGTTCATACCAGCGTACCTTCACCGAGTTCGCAAGAGGAATATGGTCTGACGCAGTTTTCGTCATGGCGTGGGTAAAATGTCGTGATCATTGTCAACTCAGCGCACTGTCATGCGATATTTTGCTGATACGAGCATCAGCATGGTCATTCCACCGAAGAGTGCCATTATTAGCATCGGATGGCGGTCCAGCCACACTAGGCTATCGCTCTAGATCCAGGTCTCGATACTGTCCAGCGCACAGCAACAGGCCGTTAGTACCCAGCTCCCACGAGGGAACTACAGCCAGACTGTCACCACACTAGAGCAGGAATGCGATAAAGGCATTGTAAAACCTGCACTATTATCTCCAGGTGCAGCGAAGCTGTGAGATTAACGCATGTTGGGCTCAGTACAGGGCTTGGTTTGGCAGCTTGGCACTATCAGGACTTGGGCTGGTAGCGATGACGACGGGTCCGGTGTCCCCGCAAGAGGCAGAAGCAACAGCCTGAGGCTACAGCATACTCGCTAATTTCGGAGAACAGTCACTACCGTTGCAGCATGCCGAATACACGGGGCACAGATACTTCTCCAACTTTGCAGTCCTTATTGATCACAAAGGAGGCAGTAACGGTTGACTTGATAAGATTCACTAAAGGTGGGCGGCGCTCAGATCAGCTACTCTTAGCACCTACATCAGCTTCATTCTGTCTGTCGTCCGCATCCATCTCGTTCAAGGAAACTCCTAGCAGGTCTGCTGCTTACATTAAGATTAAAATATGCAAAGTAAGTAATCTAAGGTCAACGTACGCTCTAGGGCGTCAAGTTACGAAGCAGGCGTCGAGGCTATTATCCGCTCAGCTAGGATCTCTACAGCTGCTCCTAGGCTGTCCAATACTGCCATAGCTGGATAATCATGCGCGAGAGCGCACAAGGTCCAGTGAAGGTCATTGCACAAAACTGGGAGCTCATCATAGCGTCCATCGTTCATGCAGCTGAAGATGAACGTGAGACGATTATGAACTTCAGTCTCGAACGCTTCGAGAAGTGGGGCTGAAGGTATACGCGACGTTATTGTAGCTGCTGCATGTGGTTCGCAATGGGGCTGAGTGAGTGTGAGATCGGGTGCGCTGTCCCAAACAACATCAGTGAACATATCCTCGCATGTCAGGTGTGGAGGTAAGCTCGGCATCGTTGGCGCCTCTAAGCCATGTTCAACGTAGGTCCCTCCTTCTTCGTCTTCGTCATCTGAGAACCCTTGTTGGCGCTCCTCAAGGGGTTTCGCAAACCTCCGGTAATCAGCAAAGCCGATAGAGTCCTCTGAGGAAGACGGGCTGGGCCAAGACAGCTGTTCCTCGTCGACCGTGGACAAAGGCTCAGATGCAGGCACGAGCTGAGTAGCAAGTGTCAGCCGTGGAAAGCGACGTTGGCGGTGAGACACATTGCTGGAGTACAGCCCAAACGGTAGACACTGTTGGCGCACAGCTGATTGGCTTTGAAGATTGGGCTGTGGCGGTGCTGGTGGTTGGCCAATACCTGATGTGAAGTCAGACCAGAATCTGCTCGGACAAGGGTCATCTCGTAGCGATAGCCGGGACTTGCGGCCTTGATCTTCTAGATTGAGACAGCTGTGTTCCTTCAGCTCAGCTGAGTCGTAATCCTCATCACTGGGGATGTCTCGGTGAATCACCGGACGCGGTCGGTCTTCTTGCATCGATAATAATTGGTTCAAAGCGGTATACGCGACGCATTTGTGCGTTTCAGCATCGACATATGCTATTTCAGAGTACCGAGGTGGTGACAAACCTGGTTTGTCGTTTGTCTCCGATGTCTCTGAGACATCGTCGCTGTCACAGAAATCTGAGACATCGTCCAAAGTGGGTGAGTACAGCAGCGGGCCGCATGCGACAGAGGCGTCCATATCTGGTGAAGTGGTAAAGGAAGTGTCTAGAAGGACCGGTGATTCTTTCGTGCTGTTTCCAGAGCCTTCTTCCATGTCGAACATGTCCACATCAACAAGCTCGTCTATGAGCTCAAAGATGTCTTTTGCCGTGGGATACCTCAACGATAGATCGAAGTCATCATACTTGTCAGCGAGAACGAAATTTTCTCCTGGCACACAGCGAGTACCTCTCTTGTTGTCTAAACAGGTACACTCGCCATCATGGCAATCGCCAAGGAAGCAAGCAGTTGCGCGATAGAGGTCTTCGATATCGCGGTCGTATTCGACAATTAAAGAGCAGGTGGTGATGTTACGAAGAGAATCTCGTCCCGGAAGAAATAGATCATTAGTAGCATATCGGAGGACGGGGTCGTGCTCGAGTTGCCAGCGCTCCTGAGTAGCTACGTCTCCCTCCGTGGCCGACAGGGATGGGTGTGTCAAAGACCGACCTGGACGGCTACATGTGAGCTCAGGCATGGTATATCGATCTTCGCGAAAGATCGGGGAAGTTTTGAAGTCGGAAGCCAGCGAAACATGATCTTGTGATTCATGCACTGCCAGGGACGGTTGAAGTTTTAGATCACTGGTATCGAGAAGATCTGGAGCCAGCAAACGTCCCTGGTGATCTATCAGCGGATACATCGCTATCTCAGGCAAAGAGCCAGTAGTAAACATACTGCGGTTGGCTAGATCTTCGTCGCTGGCATATGGAGTCTCTGCATCGAAGAGCAGCTCCACATACGCAGGAGCCCTGCAGAAAGAAGCGCAGGCCGGCTGCTTGTCCTCTCTGACTGGCTCCAATGTAGTAATAGTCGACATTGTCCGGGTCTTTGCTATCGATGATGACTCGTTGACCCCTCCTGTAACGAAATCGAAGGAATCGATGCGCTTCAGCGGTGGCGTTGTAGACTGCTCGGTTGCTCCAGATTCCCACTGCTCGGCAAAGATTTCGTCGGCGTCAGTGACTTCTGCAAAGATATCCAGGTAGTCATTTCCATTCTCTGTCTCCTCGATAACGGATGCAGAGGTATATTGACGTAAAGGTGTAAGTGACTCAAAGGTCGAAGGCAACTCGAATTCTTCAAACCGAGGAGGAGTTAACCGTCTACCAGAGGCTCGTACATCTTGAGGCGTAGCCGAAGAATTCATGGTATCGAGTTTGGCTTATGTATTAGGATGTCGACGCGGAACTCAATTCGAGATCCTGCTTTCATGGATCAAGGGAATCAGGTGCAGGACGGTACTCTGTGCGCAAGGGGCTGATGGCGTCGGGGACCAAGCCAGCTCTCGAGTCTCGTAGAGTGATAAAGAACTAGACGAAAACATGAGAGGATCTCGTATACTTCCATTGAACATGCGCGTTGTGTAGTCTAGAAGTGCACTGTGTGAAATATCAGGGTTGTTGTTATTAGTACCACAACATTGTTTTGCGATACTTTTGAGCTATCTTGGTGCATACGACAGACTGAAGTCTAGATACAAGCAAATTGAGGATATTTCGATGCGCAATCAATTTCCATGCTCGAAAACTAACCTGGACGGTCGCCTTTCGACCGGAGGGCTCCGCATCCGTAGTGCAAACTCTTATGAAGAAGCTCTCGGCAAAGACAATAACGCGAACGAGCGCATCGAGCCGCTCCTTCAAACCGTCCTCAGCGGGGCTCGTGCATACCGTGTCAGGTAGCAGAATAGACACGGTAGTGCCAGTGTTTCCTTTCACATCCGGTAAAGCCTCCAGTTCAAGGCAGCCACAGTCGCATACCACTCAACAATTCTGTGCGAGGTATTTGCACGCCAGCGCAGATGAAGTATAATACGAGGCTGGGGCCAAGCACATGTCTGGGAAAGTCTTCCAACGCTGACGCGCCGCGGTAACTTCTTAGTAAAACTCCATCAATTTGGTGATGCCAGATGTTGATGAATTAGGCTTGGCTTTGCGCGCCCGGTGTTGTAAGACCTCTCACGTTTGCCAATAGCTGGAGGCTCCAAGTTCACATCTCCGGGCTTCTTCTTCAGCTGCAGAAAAGGCTTTGTAGTTCTTCCTTTTCTCTTGTCTGAGTGTATGCTTTTCCCATTCTTTCATCACCTGCAACGTCGCTACGACAAGTGCAGGGTCCACAGTCGTCTGACGTATGTAGACAGATTCATCAGGGACATAACCTCCGCTTGCATCGACATGTCCGTCCCAGAAGCAGTGATCTGCCACTATACCACCATACAGCGGATCGGGATTGTTCCCTATCGCGGCGAAGAGCGCATGTCTCAGCGTGTCGTATCGCGAACCGTGAATGGAGGAAACCTTGGTGCTTGTGACCCACATATATGCACGTCCGTCTGGACCGATGAAGCGCAGTGAGTCGTAATTGAGCGCATGCACATAAGTTGTCAGAATGGATCTTGCGTTTGGGCCACCTTGGAGTAAGACTTCCGACTTTCGTAAATTGGTCCTGGGGTCCAGCTTTAATTCGTAAGACCATGCGGTCTGCTGTGATTTCGATACCTTCTTTCCTGACTCTGTCAGCTCCTCGGGGCATGTCATTGTCCACGAGAATTTGGGACTACGGAAGCTGCCAGTCGTGCTTTTGAACTTGAATGTAAACGCCGGTGGAATAGGAGTACGTGCATGTTCAGAGGGGCGTATGGTTCGCCATGCACACGACTCTGGCGTGTCCAGCCAGCTGGATCCGGATGACCGTTTGCTTTCCTGGTAAGCATGTAGTGTAGAAACACTGGGCGGAAGGCTCCACTGAGGCGGATACGGTGCTTGACGGTACTGCTCGAGATACCCTGGCAACGACATTGATTCTAATGCGATGGATGGGCGTCTAATAGGCTGTTGTAGCCGTTCCATGGGCTGTTGATCCAGCAAGACTGGAATTGGTAGATTTTCAAGAGATGGCTCGAGATCTTTATCCGGATGCTGCTCTACAACCACTTCCGGTAAGGTGCTGAACAGATTTGGATCTCGCGCTTGTTCGAACGATCCAGGACTCCATGGTTCGGCGGCCGCTCCCACACTTCTCGAATGAGGTCGAAGCGATTGTGCAGAGTGTTGATGCACCAGAGGTAGAGGCGCAAGCTGGGTGGTCACTGGCGCCATGTTTACTGGTCTCTGGTCGACAAAGGATGAAACGCTTTTTGAATGTAACCGCAAAGCCTGCGCAGATCGCTGTTGATGTAGGAGTGGTGACAGACGCTGGGAGCTGGGCGGCATCATACTGGCAGGGCGTTCATGTTGGCTTACTGCACTAAGCGATCTCTTTCGAACCCCTTCCACCTCCAAATGCTGCATCCTATGCGCGAGCAGCTCATCTCGCTTCAATTGCTCTTCAGACGTCGTAGTTGGTGGAGCTGGAGGCAAGGGCGCTGGCAGCTCTGCGATAAAAGGCACTGGCGCATTTTCGCTGTAGTGTGGCTGTATATATGATCCTGGGGCAGGTGCATAGTGTCCATAGTATGAGTGGTCGGGGGAAGAGGCTTGCGAGTATCGGTTGTATGGGTACACTGACTGTTGCGGCGGCGACTGCTCGCGCCGATGTGTCTCCCAGCCATGCCATTGGGGATTAGGAATCGGCGACGACATGGTATTTCCTGCTGAGCTGACGTCTTGGGATGGGCAGCGCAGTAGGAGTAGGGCTGACGTCTTCAAGTATAGGAAGATCTGCAAGATTTCGCCCCATCCCAAAACATGTTAATCAACACGGGGCGTTGTTGTACAGTACGCGCTATGCGCAACGCGCATTACCCCAGAAAACGGGAACCTTCGGGGAAGATCTCAATGAGAATGATCAACAGAAGCAGAACATGACTTTGTAAGTAGCAGACTACGCGAAGTTTGTGAGGCAAGCGTAAAGGGCGAGCGTCTGAAGGAGCGGGTGCCTGTTGACTGCAGCCGCGGGCTGCTGGGCGCCTGAAACAACGCCTCAAGCCATGCTGACGGCAGCTGGCTATAGTTGAGGGCGTCCCTCAACCACTGTAACGATGGAGCACCACGACACAACCCTTGGGAGTTTCCTGCATCCATCGGATTGTTCAATGGCGTGGGACGATGTGCGATTGTGGGTACGCGTGGGTTGCGTGTGCCCTATGTTCGGGTCTAAGCGTACCAGGCTCCCGAATTGCGAAGCTGAACAATTGGTCTCGCATCAGACACCTGCAAAAGAGCAACGTTATATCAAACACATTATAATATACAAGTGTAGACACACATGAAATTGCACACAGTCTACCAAGAAGAGCATAGCAGAATGTAAGCGGCAGGCGGCAAGCGTCACGATTCCTGTCATCTCAGTGGTGGGAGAAAGCTGCACGAATAGTTCCTCTATTGAAGAGCGAAGCACTTCACTTCGTCTTGGAAATGCTAACAACGTTTCGCAATGTACCAAAAGGCAGCACGTCTGCTATCCTCTTCTTGCTGGCGAACAGCATGACCAATCTATCCAACCCACAACCCCAGCCACCGGTGGGAGGCATACCCCACTCCAGCGCCTCGAGATAACTTTCGTCAATCGCGCCTTCACCCTCGGGGTGGAACTCACGCTGCTGCATGAACTTGCGACGCTGTTCAAACGGAGAATTTTCCTCTTCGTATGCGTTGACGTATTCGCGGCCATGGATAAACATTTCCACGCGAGATGCAACGCGTTGTCCAGTAGCCTCGTCAAGATACGACTTTGAGAGTGGAGAGAGCGCTTCAGGGTGCTGAGTGATGAAAGTAGGGTTCTTGCAGAGCGGCTCGATGTATATCTCAGCGAGGGTATCGAGAAGACGTGGAAGTGTGGGGTTGGGCGGAACGGTGAGTTCAAGGTCGTCAAACAGCTGAAGCAGCTCCTTGGAAGCGTTCGGGGATAACAAATCAGGCAGTTTGCGACTGCAGGCTTGCTCGATGGTGGGTATGAAGGGAAGCTGAGCGAAGGGCTGTGCGAAGTCGATGTCTTCCGGCGCCGCTAGGGTAGGGAAGTACGTCGGCCTGAGCGACTCGATCGCAGTATGGAGTCCGTGTACCAGTTGCTCCGTCCTGGCGACGACAGTGGGTAGGGTCGCGCCAACTTCGTAGAACTCGCAAGTCGAGAACTCTGGGTTATGCGTGTTGTCGACACCCTCGTTCCTGAAGGCGCGTCCGATCTCGAAGATCTTGTCTTGCCCCCCAACAATCAACCGCTTGAGGTTGAGCTCAGGTGCTATCCTAAGCCGTACAGGGGTGTTGGACACTTCATTTGCGACAGTCTCGAAGGGTCGCGCAATAGCACCTCCAGCGTTGACATCGAACATGGGAGTCTCCACTTCCAGAAACCCACTTTGTATAAAGTATGTGCGCACGTAGTCGTAGATCAGCGCTCGCAATCGAAGAACATCGCCAGGCTCGTCGCTCGTGAGCGCGTGGATGTGCGGTCGTCGGGCAAGTGTCTCGGCATCGTCAATCCTCTCTGGGAGGTGGTGAAGGCATGGCGCGAGCATTTGAGGTACATCAAGAGCAAGAACAGAGAGTTGTCCAGTAGATGTCTTCGTAGGGTTGCCTTTGATAGCTATACGGAATCAGAGTCTGATCTGAAGCTAAATGATTTATCTACTTACACACCCAATCGCCAATTCTGGCGACTTTCTTGAAACTCTTGAAGCTCTCATCCAAGTGGTCTTGCGGCGTGAGCTTCTTGAGCTCTACCATGGCCTGCAATCGCTGGGTGTCGCGTTCGATATCGAGGAACATCAACTTGGAGCCGAGCAGCCGCACTGAGCGCACCCTTCCTGACATTGTCAGAACCAGACTGGTGCTCATGGGTGGTGCACCCTACCAAACACAGACACAAGCTCCTCCTTCGTCTCCTGGATGCCATCGTACTTGGAGTTGAAGTCGCGTATCGACAAGTTCTGAGCATCCGCAGCGTGAACCAACCTGGGATGGTAGTCGCCCAACGGCTTTACCTTGCCCAAGTGCTCCAGGCGCTTCTGCTTCTCGACGTCATGCGCGCCGGTGTACGCATCGGCGGCTAGGCTCTGAGCAAAGCGCCGCTGAACAGCGAGGTACGCTCGAGCATGTTCCGGTTTAACGGAGCGACTAGCCTGGTGTAGGTATGGGCGGAGAAAGTTGAGGACTGGGCGGCTCATGGTTCCTTTGTCTTGTTAGCTACAAGTCGCTGACAATGCTCTGT